TTGGAACAGATATGTCTATAATGTATGTGATTTTATTGTGTTTGTCAATGAGTGTGATGTCTGGTCTGTTGTGGTAAATTGTTTTATCTGTGATTATGACTGTCGTAGTACATTTTGTGCGTGTTGTTTTCCAATACTGTCTGTGGAATGTATTCGTAGTACGGTTCATGGATGTCTAATAATTTGTGTTTCTTTGCAAGCTCTTGATGTATTTGTTACTTGATTATGTCGATGTAAATTATGTCTGTATCAAGAGTTTGCAACCATAAGTGATGTGTTGCATAGTTTCTGGCATGATGTGACATTTTCTACAAGTGTCATTTGTGAGTGTTATATCTTTCAGTATGTGTTTTGTGTAGTTTTTAGTATTTATGGCCTGATCCTGTATGGCAATCATGAATCCTTCCATCTCCCAAAAGAGGCATCCCCGAGCTAACCAGCTATTTGACGCAGTTTTGTCAACAAAATCCTGGGCTAAATCATAGGGATGTCTGCCATAGTGTTTTTTGAACCCACGATTGCTTAAGTGTCTATGCATTTTATATGTTCTGTCTTGTCCATATGATATAAATATAAGTTTAATGGTGATTTTATCTGAGTCTGCTAGACTTATTTCTTTATGTAACTGTGATGTTTCTTGCTTTTGTAGAAAAACTCTTGCAGTGCTCTTGTAGTGAAGGTTTACTATATCAATCAGACCACATCTGCCATCTTTACATGGAAGGGTTAATCTTTCTATGGCAGATTTAGGATGACGTTGTTTATGCTTAGTAAGTGTTGTTCTTGTTTTCATTTGGAGTTGCTTAAGATCTGTGTGAGTCCAATGTATAACTCCAAAAGAATAAGTAAGTACTGGGACGACATATGTGTTTATTGCTTTAACATCATTTTATTTCATCAGTGAATGAAATACAAGCATAAGAAACACAACAACTGCAATAAAAATATATAAATAAAACTTGAAATTAATAGAATATGTAAAAGTTCACGTCACACCTTTCACCTTGTGACGGCACACCGGTGTGCCGCAGTACACCGGTTGCGGAACACTGCTCTAGTGAGCATTGCAGGTATAAATAGACAGATACTCTTTTCAATTCAAAATAAATTAATACAGAAGTGTACCAAGGAGAATTTTTCTAAAATAAATTTAGCTTTAGGTCTAGTGAAGCCCCACATTCAAGAAAGAATGAAAATTAAAAAGCTGACTGTTAATGTAAAAGAATTAGTTAGAAAAATGGTAGCTGATGAGAAACCAAAACAATGACAACCAAGTACAAAGGAAAAGAGAACAATGTACTATTTGTGGGAGAGTTAAAATATGATAATGACATGTTCCTTGCATAGTAATTATACATGAAAAAAACATATAGTCAAAAACTATGTAGCCTTTTAAAACAACAAATATTTGTAACATTGTTTTTATGCAAAATATAAAAAAATTTGTTTATTGTGAATTTTTTAATTGTAAATTTTAAAATAAATACTAAAAATTACTTCTGCTTGTTTAATTAACATATATAGCTTACCATAAATAATAAATTTAAAATATTGTTTATTGTTGTCACCATTACACCTATCAAAAGAGATGTTGCACAAAGTGTGTCACATGATAAACCATGTGATTTTCATAATTACAAGACTTCAAAAAGTTAAAAGCTAATAATTTACCAATAATTTTCAATTCTCTATTTAAAATAAGTCTCAGAGAATTACCATACTGTCTCTATCAAAAACCTACTGGATTTTAAAGTATTTTCTAAAACTTGGTCTTCTATTAAGACTCAATTTAATGTATATTATTTATGATACAATGCACATGAAGTATAAAATATGTTTCTTAAAAATTTTCTATTGCTGTAATCCCATATATAAATATAGTAGTAAAACATATCACAAATTTATAGACAGTGATTTGATCTCTGACTAGACAAGGCCTACCAGGTTAACAAACACAATTAGTCGGCTTACAAAATATCTCTTTATTCAATAAGGGTTCCGTGATCAACCACTGAGGGCTCATGTGAACTCTCAGAAAAAAATTCTCATTACACAGTCACATGTCCCGAATACAATATCCCTCATCCCTTCACGCTCCTTCTCCCTTATTCGCGTAGCATAACAAGGTTCGTACGCATTTACAATAACATGTAAAGAATTTTCATAACAGTCTACTCACTGGAAATCTGGCACTTAAACAATCAGGAATCGGACCAACAACTATCGCACATGGGGAAAATCTTCGCTTCCATCGATACCTCGGGTACTCTATCTTCCTTAATTGTTCTGTCCACACTATTCTTTCTGTATATACCACACTTGAGATTTGGTTCTATCTCCCTTTTCTCGATGTTCAAACGAATCTTCCTTCTCACTCCGGTCGGTTCCGACTTTCCTCGATGGCGCTGATCAAAAACTCTCATGAATGGAACTCTTCCAAAGGAAAGAAAAAAAAGGTGTCTTCTCACACGTGGACCTGCTATTTATACCCTGGCTTGCTACTCTCACGTGACCTCTTGGGTAGCCAATCCAGAGGTCCGGTTTCACACAAAGGAGGGAGGTACAAAGTAAGGAGGACACGTGTCCAAACGGACGACAAACACAATGAAAACCCGATACAGTGTGACATAATAAACTTACGCTAAGTACAAAGAATATTAACTATACAAATAATATTCACATACATTACTAACAACAACCAATAAGTGGTGGAGCACTACAACAGTAAATATAGTTATCCTAGTATTCTGAATACTACAGAAATCCCAGATAAGTGCAGGTACTTCTAAATGACCACAAATTTCAGTCTAGCTATAAATAGTTCTTCAATACATTAACAACTGTATTCAACATGGTAGCTTAAAATGCCAATCATAGCTCAAAGTCCCAACTGACCCAAAAATGGTTTATTGACCTTTGGGGATTGATATTGACCATTTTGGAGTCTTCTGGATTAAACGGAGATTTAGTTCATTGTTTATGAGAGAAACTCAATCATGCACTTTCCTTTAAAAGTAACAAAACTAATTTTTTTGTCACCAAAGGAACAATAATTTATTAGTTATGATATTTTTTTCTATGATGATCTTACACAGTCTCTCCTTGACTTACAATGTGTTTTCCAGAATGTAACCCCATCGTAAGTAAAAAAAAATAAACAGAAAAAAAAACACTATATGCAAGATTATACAGTATGTAACATTGCATATTGATTGTACAGTGCTTAATGTGAGTTTGGACTATCATTAAAATCAATGATAGTCCAAACTCACAAGTGAATGCCATAACAGCCATGCTTAGATATTAAGTTTCTCATCGAGAGTACAGTAGTATAATAGTAGTGTAATAGCCTTCCTCTTCTCACCAGTAATAGCGGACACAGCAGAGTGTTTTGCAAACATTATCCCTATACTAAAAACACACAAGATATAAGATGGTATATATAAGAAAAAGTCTCAAGAAAGATCATTAACACATTAGTACAGCAGCTTGAATTCAAATTCTAACCATTTTTCTGTGCTTTCACTTCATAGGCCATTGTATGTGTGAAATATCATATGTCAAAACATGGTAAGTTGAGGAGCATCTGTACTTTTAAATCAGTTCTAATAATAATTCTTTGAATAATAGTAATTTGAGGTATGCAGGTATAGATGTCTTGTATACGTTTATTATAAAGAATTATTATTTTAAACAGTAGATTTTTTATTTTCCATACTAAAGTTGCTAAAATCACCACACTAGAATAGTTATGGTTACTAAATAAACTATGTGCTTATTCTTTTAAGCATGGAAAGCATTATACATGGCAAAACCTCGTAATCTGTTTTGACCAATCATGTTGATCCTAACAAAATTATTTGACTTAAGGATCAGTTAAGTTTTCATCAAATAAATATAGTGAATACAATATGAGACATGGCTCAGATCAGTTGAACCTCAGATCATGTGAATTTCATTTTGAGACTCAGTGAATATGGTTATAAGCAGTGATATCACTAGGGGTGCAGACCACACTAGGTGACAGCATCAAAACAAGTGACATCAAAATGGTTCATAAATTTTTGTGCAGTTTTTGTGCATTTGGATTTTTCAGAGTATTGACTAGACATAAAACTTATAATAATGTTATGTTAAAAATTATTTAAACTTTTACTTAATTTTTATTGTCCTGTAATTATTTGGTATAATCATCTTGTTTTATTTGTACAGAAAGTTTACAAATAGAGAAAAACAGGTATATTATAAAAGTAACTATAATACTCTTAGGTGTTTAATTAGTAGCTATTCATTTCAAATTTAAAGTTGAAGCTTGTAATATTTGTAAAGAAAGTGATTATTTTCACTTTTATTTTAAATATTTTAAAATGTTTTAAGTAAATTTTTTAAGGCTTTTTGAGACTTATATTCAAATTCCAAAATATTATTTTGGAATTTGAATATAAGTCTCAAAAAGCTTTAAAAAAAATTTACTTAAAAAGTATAAAGCTAATTTTATTTTAATAATTAAAAGCTAATGTCTAATGCATAATAATGCATGGTCTCATTCTGTAGTCATAATTAAGATATTTTTAAAATGTGAGAATATATTAAATATAGAACTAACTTCTATATTTAATAATACCAAATTATCTGCAATAGGAAAATAGGAATTTTCAGAATTCAAATATCTATTATTAAATAACTTGTGTAATCTGCCATCTGAGCCAAATAATTCACTAGATACTGATGAATTTGAAATATTTAACTGCTATACTCAGGAAAAATTTTCTGAGCTCATTTACCATAAAGCAAATGTTTTCATATCTAATAAACACATCTTTAATTTTTCTATTAAATAATATATCATTTAAAGTTATGCACCTCTTTAGTTTTCACAAAAAGAAAAAATTTAGAACAAAGACAAAGATATATTCTGTAGTAAAAATTTAATGCATCTGAACTATATCAATGTATTCCAAACTGATTAAAATTTTAAACATTCTTATTAAAGTGTAAGAAATAAAATGAATTTAAAATGAAAAAGAATCTCATTTACAATACTATCAAAATAACAGATACAGTAGAATTTTGATTGTGTAACAGTAATATTTTCATGCTTGATTCTTCTCTTCTTGAAAACTTTTTGGATCCTGAAAATATCTACATAAAAGGCATAAAAGTTTTGGATTTTTACATATATTCCTTAAAACTTAATGAGTGTATGTACATTCATTAAGTTCTAAGGAAAAGCAAATGCTTTTAATTTTTCTGATTATGTAAGAATAAGCAATCTATTGTTTTCTCTATTATAATATTTATTAAAAATAATATGTATATGTAATAATCAACAAGGATAACAAAGATGAAATGTATTGTTATCAGTTAAATATTAACTGAGGACAATATATTTTGAATTCTTTATTTTTTCATAAATCAATACTTAAAATTCAAAATTTATACTGAATCATTTTCTGTTTTTCACCAATCTCTTTTCCCAAGTAAGGTAGGAGTCTGCATACATCATTCATCAAAGTCATTTTTCCATTTTTGTCTTAATCTTCTCAATGAGAAGATTAAAACAAATATGGTAAAATAAATTAAGAAATTTTTGAAAAGAATATATAGAAAGAATAAACAAAAACGGACAGATCAAAATTGGCATAGTTCAAGTAAGTCTTAAGGAATCAGATTGCCAGACTTGTTTCCAAAATGAAACTGATATTTAAACAAAATAATTTGAGGATGCAGATGTCATCTTCAAATTACTTTGTTTAAATATCAGTTTGATTTTGGAGATATACTATAATATTCTATGAAAAATGCAAAAATATGTGACTTCCCAATGGGATTACATTGATCAATAACAAATGCTGTTTTGATTCTAACATGCTGCTTAATTTTAAATTTACATTACTCTAAAATTTAATTGTCAAACTTTATATAACTTATTATGAGGACTGAAAATGCTGCTATTAAATATATAGCTGTAAGTATCTGTAAGTATTCATGTAAGTATCTATAAGTATTCAGTCTTCTGTAAGTATTCATTTTGAAATTAAAATTTCAAAATGAATACTTACAGAAATTATAAAATATAAATAATTATATAATACCATAACAGTTGTTATTGCATCATAATCAAGAGTCTAGAGTTTTCCTTCAAAAGAATATATACTGTAAAGGAATACATATATACATATATATATATTGTGGTTTTAGGCCCTTTACCACTTAGAGAGCACAAAAAGGCCAAACTAATTTATCTATATATATAAAAATGAATGTATGACTGTCTGTCTTTCATGCATTACTACACCATTTATCCAATTGCCATGAAACTTTGGGAAGTTGTTTAATACACTCCCGCAAAGGTTTCTAGCATAGTACATTTATCCTACGATAGATGGCGCACATGTATACGAGCATTTCATCGTGAGCATTTCAGCACAATTAGGAGTTGAAACTTGAAATTTGGTACACAGTTAGGGTATGTCACGAGAACACACACTAACAAGGAATTTTTTGAAATTTCCCACCCCCCACAGGGAAAGGGACAGGATTAAGGCTTCAACAATGGAAGTGTTAAGAGAAAGCAGCGTGCAAGATTTACAGATGCAGATGCAGTTTTTTGCGTTAAATCGAACATAATTTTAGACCCACTTAAAAATTTTCTAATTAGTCTGGAAACAGGGAAACCTAATTCTTGCATTCTGTGAAAACGGGTAAGATTGACTGTAATGTAATAATCTTAATCTTCACTATCGTTACTTTTTGCCCAAGCAACGCCGGGCTTATCTGCTAGTATTATATAATATCAACTGTCTAATGTACATAAAGAGTAAAAAATAGCAATTTTTATTAGTGTACATTAATACATTTAATATACTGTTGATAAGCATATAATTGCATTTCTTTGTGTATTATAATGTGTTATGAAAATATAAGGAAAGAGTGGAAATGAAAATTTTGAAATAAATCACTTACAGAAATAGTAACATAGGATGTATAACTGTTTTCTATCCTGAAAATTATTATTCATAAAAATCTTAAGAGTTTGCTTTAATCAATAAACTGTAGTAAGATTATTCAAAAATGAAAGTGAGCTGAATACAAATAGTGACAGAAAAACAGAGATACAATAAAATTATCTATTGTAGTATAAGATACACTTCTGAAGAAAGTTTTCTTCCAAGAAATTCCAAAGTAATCCTCATTAATCTCCAATCATAAAAATAAAAGGCAAAAAAATTTGAAACAAATCTTTAAACCATTCATTTATGTTTTAGATTGATATGCAGAAAAGCCTAAAAACTTATTTCAGATAAAACATATAAAGATAACTCATCTCATATCTACAAAAATATATTAAGGATAGATTATTGATGATTGAAGAAATAAAAATACAATTTACTTCTTTAAAAACTGGTTATATGTAATGCAAAAAAACAAATGCTAACAAATGTTTTCATTTTGCATGTTTGTAAACATTTATATCATTAAATAATTTTACTTCTTTTATTGGTTTTGGGTATATTTGTGTGTTTTCATAAAAATACAATTTTTCAAATAAATCAAAATTTAATTAACATGGCTCAGATAAATTTCTGTATGTCTAATGTTGTAATTCTGAAAATTATTATCCTGAATATTCTTGAAGCCTTGTGAAGTATCCAGCTAAGCCAAGTGTTATGTGGATGAATTTCCTGTTACAATATTATTTATTTATACTTTAAAAAAAACATAAAGCCACAGATTACCTAAAGATTCTCAAGTGTTTATTAACAAGAATAATTAAGGATCATTTTGATAATGACAGAAAACTTATCATTCAAGATTATTCTGTGCTATGTCATGTGTTTCTCTTGTGATATTTCATATCTTTAAGTAAAATATATAAAATATTACTTTAGCTCTTTTTAGCATTTCTGTTCATCATTTACATTAATTTAATACAATTTCTCATCAAGTTACAAATTATTACTGTTAATGTAATTGTTTATCAACAAAAAATTAAATGGCTATCCAAACTATAATCTGAATTTAATCTAAAATCGTTTATAGCACTAACAAACCTTTATAATTAAACCAGCAAATATATTTTTTAATATACTTTGACAAGAATTTTTTACACAAAATGAAGCAGATGACTTCTGTAAAGAAACTTACAGAAAAAAAAATAATTAAAGAAGATTTGACAATGTTTATTCACATCATTTATCAATTGATATAGCTTGTATCAGCAAGATATTCATGCTTACACCCCTAGTTTTCGAGCAAACTAGGGATGTAAGCATGTTGAAACCAGGCTAATTTCAAGGATTAGCCTGGTCAGCATTAATTTCAAGGAGAAAGAAATGTTATCTAAAGCATGGCAGTCTCTAGTTGATAACCAAGAGAATGACATAAGCTCAACTTAAAAAATTTTTGTTAATAACATGTATAATTATTTTATTTTATTTTTATTTATTTTAATGTTTTTAAAAATATGTAAATAATTTGTTAGTAAAACGTTTAAAATAACTAAATCGCTTGTTTTTTGAATTTTTTTAAATTTAAAAATAGTGATTATAGTTCTACTAGTAAAACTCAGTCTTTTAATTTGTATTTTAATATGTTTTTAACTTGAGGCAGACCTCTGAAAGGAATCAAAAACGTTTGTTTTCAGTAAACTAGTGCTGGAAAAGTGTGTAAGGTGTAGTGTGATTGGTATATTTGTTTCTAGTTTTCCTACAAGTGTTTTCTTTGGCTCAAACATATTCAAATATATGACAACTATCTGCTAACAGCTGTGTATTATAAAATATTTGTTAACAAATAAATCCTGAGTTTAACAATTAGCCTTTAAGAATATAAGAAGATATTCTTATATTTTTTTTTTATAATCTTTAGACTATGCTATATGTAATCCTACAAATAATATTCTACCATCTTTAGAATAAAAATTCTAAATCTGGTATAATTACCTTAAAATCATTCCATAAAACATTTGCTTAAGAATAAAGGAGAGATGTCATGATAACTGAAGAAACCACAATTTTTCCACAAATATTTGTAGTATCCACAATTTTAAAAACCTCAAATCTGATTCATAACAATCTTTAATTCAAAATAAGTTATTCTTCTAACAATTCTTTAAAGACATTTGATTTAGGCTTTGATAAATCTAACATTAAAACGAAAGTATTCTGGAAATGTAGGCAAATAAATTTTGACCTTTAATTTTTTTTCTTTGTTTCCTTCATTTAATTACAATAGCATTCACAAGAACATTTAATGACTACCTCTCAGAACAATAATTTCCATTAAAAATACAACAATTTTTTTCTGTTTAGTCTGTTCATTTGGAAATTTGAAATTAAAAAGTTTAGAATAATAAGCAAATTGCTAAATTTAGGAAACCAAAACAAATTTTTTACTCAGAAGCATTTTTGTTCTTTTAAAAGATCATCATCAGTTTCAAAATTGCAAAGTGTGTTGGAAAAAAATTTGAAATTTTTTTATAAACTTTTTACAACTTTGTAACTTAAATAATTTTGAATTTGTTCTAACACACTTTGTAATTTGAAAGCTAATGATAATCTTTTAAAAGAACACAAATGCTTGAGTAAAAAATTTGTTTTGGTTTCCAGAATTTGGTATTTTTTATTATTATTTTAAATATGGTACCAAGTTCAAAATGGTATTTTTATTAGAAAGTTTATATATTAAAAAATTTAATTTCAATAATAAACTTATATTCCATATAATATATTGTTTTTAATTATTAATTATGTTAATAATGAACTAATATGAAATCTATTGTATAAAAAACTTCTGAATGTTACAATATTATTTAATGCTTTATTATCAAGGAATTTTATAAATTAAATTTGTACAACCCCTGCAACAGGGATAATCCCTTTTTGCTAATAAAGATTATAATAATAATATTCCATATAATATTAAGAAATTGAGTTTCTGTATCCAAATCTTAAGAAAATTTATAATAGAGGATAAAATTTATGTATTTTGTGTAAACATAAATTTTATAATTATAGGAAAAAGTCATAAAACAAAGAGAATTTAGTATTTTTAATATTTTCAGTCATCATCAAAATCTACATCTATAAAATAAAAAAAGCTTAACACTAATTTTTTAAGTTATTAAATATTTTTTTATCATTAGAGATTAATAATTTGTCATATAAAGATCATATAAAGTTATTAGAAAAAAAATATTTTCTATGTTTAATAATTTTATAAATTATTAGCTTTCTTGATAAAAAAAAATATTTATTTAGATTTAAAATTAAGTTTTCTGAAGTTTTGTTTATTTATTTAGATGTAAGTTCTGTAATTAAAAAACAGATCTTTCATACACTAAATTCTCTTTGCTTTAGAACTTCTTGATAAAAGTTTAAACATAAAGTTGATTTAATTACAATGGAGTAGACAACTCCTTGGAGTATTGTTCTTTGTTACAATCACAACATTTGTAATTTTTCAGCTATGAATTTATAAAGTGATTATAGATTACACAAAGAGAAAAAAATAGATGCCTGTAGGGACATAACATTTGAATTCTAAGAAACAATTAATAGAATAATTTTTAATTCAACAATTAATTATAATTAAATAACAAATGTTTTAGTCACATCAATACTAATTTGTTTTCATTACATTATTTTAATTTTCTGGAAGATTTTTCCAGCATAATTCATCTAAAACAANGTTTTGTATGTATGTATTATTACCACTAAAAATACATTTGATATTCCAGAAAATAGAATTCCTCATCTACATGCAAGTTTTAAGTAATTATTTTTAGTTGCAAGTTTGGGATATATAAATTGCAATTTATTTTGAACTATAAATGATTTCTACAGTATTTACAAAACTGGTTTTACAGTATTAATTTAATTATGCATAATATAAACTTGTCTAATATTTTGAATTTATCATTATTTTAGTATAGTTGCACCATTTGCTACTTACTTTGCCTAAACTACTTAGGATTAAATAACATTTTTAGCAACATTTAAATGTTATTTAATTATAATTAATTATTGGATTAAAGGCTATTATTATTCTATTTTAGTCATCCAGTTTAATCCTCTGCAATTCTATAAAACAGCTAATGTTAAGTAAACAGAAAGTTGACTAAATATCATTTCATTCAAAATCTTTATCCATTTCAATTCACTAACTCAATAAAACAATCAATATTAAACAGAGTTGCCATATGTTTTACTTTTGGTAGAGCAGTTCTATAATCACACCTATATCCTATGTCCTACATTTATGCCTAAACGTCAATTTTGGAAATTATAGAAAATGCACATGTAATCTATACAATGATTTGAATATGGTTATATAAGCATAAGTGTAAATAAATGTATATGTTAGTTTTAATATTTTTTTTTATTTACTATGTAGTTACTATTTATATGTCTGCACTACGAGCTAACAAAATGTGTAGACAGTGCAACTTAGATCATATTCATACAAAAGATATTATATACATACATATATTGTAATGTGATTAAATTACATAAATAACAATAAATTTTCAATACAATAAAATGCATATTTTGTAATCTTTATTTACGTCCTATTTCAGTTTTTAAAATTGGTAACACTACTAAATAAAAATGAATTATTTTGGAAAATTATCTTTAAATTTATTATTTGATGAATATAAATTTTTAAAATCAAATGAAATTTGTAATTATAAAGTTTTCAATTTTAATTTTATCAAATTTAATTTTACAAAAGTTAAAATTACACTAAATGGAAGTATACTTTTCATTTACAGAACACCTATGATTTTTGAGAAGAAACTGAATTACATTATATTTATTAATGATAAAAATTTGATCATCTATCAAGTTAAAATGTAGAATTGTATAGCTAGATAGGAATAAGTAATTTAAAAAGCATGTATTTTATTTGTTACCAAATGTTCACATGCATCATTCTGAAATAATTTTATTAATAATGATCAGTTATGATTACTGGTATGGTTGTAAAAAGCCAATTCTGCTAAATTTAACATTTGTCTTTTTAAACAAAAAAGTGTATCATGATAAACATTAAAATAGTAATTACCATCAAATATATAAAAGATCTTTTTTAAAATTTTTATGTGAATACTGAAGTATATGCAATAAAATTCTTTTACCTGGCTTTAATAGATATAACTCTTTGGCCAACTTCTAAATGTTCTTTGATAAAAATTGGTCCATAAACTGGTTGATCCCAAATTGGTGGATTATTTGCTCGATCTACTACATCAATAATGACTTCTACAGTTGCCCTATGCTGTGGTATTCCTTTATCTAGAGCTACTGCTCTCAAATGATATTGTGCTCTCTACAAAACAGTAAAATATTTATATATCATTGAAAAACTATATAAGTACTGCATATATAATAAATTTTAAAATAATTATTTGTAATTATTAAAATTTTGTTATGAAATACATTTGTGTATACAGTAGGTGATCGGTTAACGAACAAATCGGATAACGAACACTTTCACGAAAGATTTTTATGTTCGGACAACGAACACATGATCGGATAACGAACACCCCACAGAGCAAACACAAAAAGAAGTGATGTAAAATAACGAATACTGATTGGTCTTCCTTGTCTTCAGACAACAATTTGAAACTTTTTGGAGCGTGGGAGACGTCAACATTGACGCTCAACCCAATATATACTGATCAGATAGTATTCCTCCAAACTTTGAAACTCTTCCTTGAAATTCCAGTCTTTTATTTTTCTGACAAAACAATTCTTTTATGTATTCGTGAGACTGTTGGGTAGGCACTTGTTAACTTTTGCAACTGTTTTTCTTTTTCGAAAGGTGAGAGTATAATAGCAAAAGTGGATAGAAGATGACTAATGTTACTGAGCAGTATGGCATGAACAGGTCTACAGAAGGCTGCAGTTCAATCTTATTTAAGAAACATACTGTATAATCAAGAAGACTCAAGCAGCTAAAGGAGTAACAAAAATCACATCTGAGAAATAAAGAACATCGAAGAGTTCATAATGGAACCTGAAATGGATCTGACGACAGAATAATGCCAAGAAACTCGGCGAGATATGCTTTCTTCTGAAAAAGAGGATCAATGCCAATATCTGCTATTAAAGATCTTTTGAAGAAGTGGGAAGATGTCAGAACAACGGTCTTAGAATGGCATCCAAACCAGGTTGAGACTTAGGAATTTTTACAATTACAATGCTATTAATTACTTCCTGAAAAATCCTGAAGAAGAGAAAAAAACAATCGACATTAGACAGATTCTTTAACCCTTTCAAACGAAAAAAACATGACTAATAAAAATGCAAGACTGTGTATGTATGTATGTATTTTTATTATTACATATAAATAAACATAGTAAGAAAGTATATATTTTTTTATTTTTGGGGGTCTCCAAGACGAATTAATTAAATTCCCATTAAAACCTATGGTAAATCGATAAACGGTTAACGAACAATTCGGATAGCAAACAAAGTGTTGGAACAGATTATGTTCATTAATCGATCACCCACTGTATATGTGTATAATATATATATATATACACCCTTATAAAGTTAATAATATTTTTATACTATATATAATAATTATAAGATACTGTATGTGTATAGCATATATCATTATTATCCCATAAATTTTTCCTACTTAGTACTGTATGGTGAAATGATTATGATGAAATTTGAAAGATTGTGTAAAAGAATTTTTCTAAAAAAATTAGTTCCAATTTTATCACTAGAAAAAAAAAGCAGTAATATGATTTACATCTATAAAACATTGCAGATGCAAATTATTCCACATCTTTGTATAAGAAAGTAGCCATCTGATTCAGATAATAAATAATGAATACCTATAATTTAGTAAATTGTGATTTCTATTAAATTGGTAGCAATAAGGCCACATTATTTGGAAATACTAACATTTATTTAGCAAATATTATCATCTCATTTCAGCATTACTTATCCACAGATTTATTGATGATAAATTATTTAAATAAAAAAAAAACCATTAATGAGTATTTTCTCTTTCATTATTCAAACTGTCTTCAAATTAGTCAATACAAACATTCGAATACAGGAAAAAATTGTTAAACATATTTAAATTATGTAATTTTTTAAAAATATATTAAAATAATTTTTTCAGAAAATAGACTGGTAATTCCATATTTGTAATAAATCCAGTGTTGTATTGATGTTGATCTTCTTAATTTAATTAAAATGATTTATGCTGTAAATAATGTTTTATTGTTCAAACTTAAATACTTCATTTAATGTTAACTTAGCTAACATTTAATGTTTTATTAATATCTTTTTTATGGTCTATTAACTGTTTTTCCAGAATTTTTTGTTGTTCTTATATATACTAAAGCATTTCAGAACTTGGTTTTTAAGATTCTTCTTTCTCATATTTTCTTTTAAATTCTTGTCATTTGAGAAAATTCTATGTAACAGAGGTAGAGAAATTCTAGATAAAAGAAAAGTATTTCATAAATTTTAATAAATAATGTTACACATTTTGTAAAAACCAATAAAGCCATTGAAAATTTTACAAAAATTTCAACAGAAATTAGCTTTAAATGATAATACAATACTTGCTTGACTTTATTCTTTAAATATTGAAACTTACACTTGGAAAAATCATTATTTAATATAGCTTTTTTATGATCTTAATTACACTATTTGAAAATTGAAAATGTATAAGGATATGCTCTTCAAAAATAATGAGAGAAGAATAAATAAACAGCTCAAATTGAAAATAATACTTTCTGTAAAAAACTGTAATGCTTTATTTTTTGTGATATACTTAACAAAAAAGCTATAATTGGAAACAGAAATTAATGTCCAAAAATGGTTGTTTTACATCTCTGTAGAAGTTTTAATAAGGTGCTCCACTAATTTTTTTGAGTGATTCTATAAATCACTCAAAAAAATTGGTCTTTTATGGTCAGAACATGAACTAATAGATATAGATTTTTTTACATGCAATTTAGCACCTAACTTATAAAAACATAATTTTAGGAAACTAATTTGTGGCTGACTGCAGAATAGCAAAGAAGTAAATTTACATACTGCCACATAAGTATAGAACTGTCATCTTTCTTGCAAGTTTGAAGTGTGAAAGTATTTTTTTCATCATGCCTCGTGGTACCCATTTAACAGACTTTAAAAAAGAACAAATTACAGCTTTGAGAAGCACTGGTTTAAGTCACCAGGATATTTAGGTATTCAAGTACATCACAAAACCATTAGAAGAGTTTTACACAGCAACAACAACATTGTTTGGTCTCGAATGAGAAGTGCCCCTGCTCTTAAGCCTGAGCACAAAGCTGCCTGACTCAATTTTGCTAGGAAAAGCATGGCAACTCAATGGAATAAAGTAAGTTTTTACTTTTGTTTAGACCTATCATGCTATCACAAGAAATAACAACCTTTTTGTCATATAGATAATCTTTTCAAACAAAAAAAAATTTAATTTGGATGGGCCAGATGATTTAGCATTCTACTGGCATAATTTACAAAAAAAGCCCAAGTACTTTTCACAAAGGAACTTTGGTGGTGGGAGTGTTATGGTTTGGGGTGCTTTTTCTGCTTTGAGAAAATTGGATTTGGCATTTGTTACCTGTCACATGAACAGTGCCAACTATCAACAAGTTCTGGAGAACAAATTGCTACCATACAAACATAGATTCAGAAAAATTCCTCTTATTTTTCAACAGGACAATGCATCTATCCATGTATCACAAGACATGAAACAATGGTTTGAAAATACACAAATTGGCCAGTTCATTGTCCTGATTGCAACCCTATAGAAAACATTTGGAAATCTTGGTTGACTGAATTTAGGACCAAAATCATCGATATATCAACACTGAATACTTAAAACAAGCAATTGTCAATGCTTGAAACTCCTTTGAGACATCGATCATAAAAATCCTTGTTGATAGTATGCCAATTGTATTTCAATGTTATCTGTAAAGGAGGTGCACAAATAAATTACTAAATTAAACTATTTTGTAGTATATAATTCTTTTTGCATTCATTTACTTTTGTGGTGCTTAAAATCAGTTTTTTTTACAATTTCTGCTGTTTGCTGCAATATAGGAAACTATAAGTTTCAACAAATTATGTTTTGATAAATCCTGAACAATATAAGAAAAATAGCTACATCATACATGTAATGCCTAACCTTCCTGTAGTAAAATTTGCAGTTGTTCTATACTTTTGCGAAGCACCTTATATGTAAAAATATTTATAAAGGAAAGAAACATATAAAAAAACTTTGCTCTTATCATAATCTATGATTACACCAAAATTTATATTATTCCTCTAAAAAATTAGTTCCAAAATATTTTATTGTATAAGAGCAATGGAAAGATTAATAGGATACAAAAAAACTGTTAATAGCAATCAGGAAAGATGTAATGTTAAGCTAACTTAAAATTAAATGAAAAATTTAAACTTGAATTGAATGAAGTTGGAGTCAAATTTTGATTGTAAGATGATAAAACATTATTTGTAGCAAAAACCATTTTAATCAAATTAAGAAAATTGCTGAATTTATTAGAAGTACAGAATGATATAATTAACAGAATCTGCTGAAAGTATTTTTAAAAATAAATTATTAAAAATTGATATGTTTGCCAAAATTTCTATGTAAGTTTTTTAGTTTCAACTATATGTTTCAATTATTTTGTTCAGCATTCAAACATCAAATTTTTCATATTTAATTTAATCTGAAAGCTCTTTGAATAATAAAAGCCAAAGTACTCAATAATGTTTAGTGTACAGATAATACTCATTTGTCAATGGTTTATTTTGCAATGATTAACTTAACATAAGAACTCAAACTGGAAACATTTACTATATCAACAAGAAAATCTTTTCTTTATTCCAGCAACTCAATAATAAATATGACAAATGTTTTTGAGCAGCTTGACCACCTTGCTTTTTATAATGAACCTGAAGCAAGATAATCAAGTGTTCAAAAACATTTGTCATATTTATTATTAAATTGCTGGGATAAGAAAAAGTTTTCTTGTTGATATATTAATAAAAACATCAGTTTTGAAACCAAAACACTGAAAATATAAAAAACTTTAAAAAATTTTTTAAATAAACTATCATGTTTGATGTAAATTGACAAGGGAGAGGAGAAATAAAAAAATGAATAGCTTCCTTTAAAATTTATGAAAATAAGCAATCTACAGCCCATGCTTTCAGCCATGAAGACCCTGAAAGATGAGCTCTGTAAGAATGACCAGAACTAGCCCACTATGTCCAAAACTAAATACCAGAATGAGTGAAAGTGAAAAGAAGTGTAATGTCATTCATTGGTTCTTATTCTGAAATTCTCAAAGAAAGAAAGAGAAATCTTGACAGTTAACACTGAGTTTTTTTTGTGCAAGGAAGAGGAAGATCCTCAATCAGGAACTTCAGTGTAGAAGTAAAATCTATGCATTGTACCACTGTCATAAAAATCAATGCAAAAGTTTAAGTCTGGACTTTAACTATATTAAAATAAGCATACAAACTATAAGTTTTTTAAATTTATAAATATATTTAAAAGAAAAAGTTTATGTTGCATAGTACTAACTTTATCAGTAGTTAAACTGGAACTAATCACTTAATTATTTTGTGTATACTATTGAGAATATTCCAAAATTTTACTACAATCCTTTTCCATGTTCTACTCTAAATGGCACTGAATTAAGTTTAACCATAAACGCTTTATTTAAACTGTATCTCCCATACATGTACCCAGTAAATGTCTGAAATCACAGATAGTATCACTTTAAAAATGTATACATACATACTGTATGATAAAGTTTAATTTATAAATTAGGCATAGTAATAAATTAATAACTATAACTAATAATAAAATAGAACATACTATACAATATACTATAATAAAACTTATGTGTTTATAACCTTAGCACATGATATATCCTAGGGCAAATAAATTCAAGAACAAAATTAAAGCAAAAATGTGGTTTTTGATCCATTATTGGAGATATGAATTTTTGATTGCCAATTGATGATATACTAAATTATTGTTTTTATGTGTAAATATCTTCAAATTATGTATATTTGTTAATATTTTTAGTGAATATGAGACAATACTTATTAAGAAAACTTAAACGTTTCAAATTTTTTATATTTTTTATATCTTCTCTGCATACCAAAGGGATTTATTTATTAATGCAGAAAAATTTCAGTTTTTTAAGATTTAATTATATTTTATTTTTATTAAGAATAAATATGAGGTCTGTTCAAAAAGTATCGGACCTTTGGTCGGCAAAAATACATTTATTGATTTTGAGGTACAAAACCCTAATCCCCTTCAAAGTAGTCTCCTTGGTAGTGTATACACTTCTCCCAGCATTCCTGCCATTGCTGGAACGCATCTTTTGGAATGGCCATCACCCGGTCCGTCAGATTCCGCACGATGTCTTCTCTCGACTAAATTCAGGTTCCTTTTAGTGGCATTTTCAGCTTGAAAAATAGCCAAAAGTCACATGGAGCCTTGTGGGGAGAGTACGGAACGTGACGAACCACAGGAGTGTTATGTTTGACGACAAAAGCCCGAATCAGATGCGCAGAATGGGCGGATGCGTTATCACGATGGAGCTGCCAAGTTTTGATCGACCACAGATCCGGTCGTTTGCATCGCATTGTATCGGAAAGACGACGAAGGACCTCCTGGTAGTACTCCTTTGCGATGGTTTGGCCTTGTGGTGCGTACTCACGACACACCATTCCACGAGAGTCGAAAAAAACTGTCAACATGACCTTTGATATTGCTACGGACATGCCGCGCTTTTTTTGGCCTTGAGGATCGTCCCCGAAAGCCTGCTGAATCTTGCGAATGGTTTACGCTAGGGTATCGCCAAGGTTTTTGGCAAAATTTGATGTAATATTGCTGCTCACATTGTTCAGTCATTTTCCAGCTTAGTGGAATCTGACGAGAGCGCACTACATGACCTCACTCATAGGCTGATTGACAACGACTGACGCTTCCTGTAGGCAGGAAAAAATTCAGGGCTGTGCATGACTATCCCTTCCACAACTCCACCGAAGGAGGCCTCTCGCGCATCATTGGTTTATGCGGAAAAAAAAAAGTTCCAATACTTTTTGAACAGACCTTGTATAAATTTAATTGCTTTTGTGAACAAATTATCTTCTTCAGGTATTCCAAGACAAATTTTAACTAAATGAAAATGAACAAACTATGTCAACTGTTAAAATTTACATTTAATTCAAGTTTTCTGTTGTTATAATATGTATAATATTAAGACTTCTTTTTTTTTATAAGAATCATTGACAAAATTAATAAAAAGTAATGCATGATTATACTAAAATAATACTTACATCTAATGCTTTTTTCAAACTAACCCAACCAGAATCAGGATTTATTTCAAAGTATTCAAGATCAGATGGATCATAAGGTGCTGTAAGGTTATAAATTATAGCTCCATTATTATCTGCATCTTCATCTGAAGCAGAAACACGAAGAATATTGGTCCCTTTAGGAGTATCTTGTTTCACATTTTCTCTGTATTCTTGTCGGTCAAATAGTGGTGGATTGTCATTGATGTCTGTGATTTCTACTTTGAAGGAACACACACCTTCTAATGGAGGATTACCTCGATCTGTTGCTTTAACAGTTACACTAACAAATCGACCATCATCACCTTCACGATCAAATACCTGTTTATAAATTATTTTTTAATTAATCAAATACTGTATTTATAACACTTGAAACATTAATTATTTTCCTGTAAATAAATTTTATAAGTATTAAAATGCAAAATTATTTTATAATAAATATTTTCTGTTTAATCAAATTTCAAATATTAAAAAATTTAAATTTATTAGCAGTATTATAATAGTCCTGAACTATACTGTATCTTATATAATTTTTTAATACAAATTTTTCAGATCTGTTTTCTGTTTAGATAAACTACTATATATAAATATTTGCTCCTTCAAATGAAAGAGACTCAAACGCAGATGTCCAATGCAAATATGTGATTTATTGTACATGTAAGGATTTACAGATACAGTACACTCACTGCAAGACCCAAAGAATCTAAAAATAGTGTCCTGCAGTAGAGAAATAACCCTCCACTTGTATAGTGGTGCCCTACTCTCCCTAAATACTATCAATGTTGCCACTTATAGTTTATGTTTCATTTGAAGGAACCAAATAGTTAAAATAAAAGTCTTATTTCCTTATTTTACAAATATCTTTTATTTCTTAAAAGAATTTTTTTCAACCATTTTTATAAATTTTTAAGCAATTACATTTTTAAAAAAAGCAAATTGAAGATGAATATTTTTAAACTTAAGAGTTTCATTCCTTTTGGAAACATATTTGAATTTTTTATTTGTTATGCATTTAAGAAAAATGGAAAAATAACAACAATCCAAAATAGCTGTATTTAAAATAATAAGTTTAAAATTTATTTCTCTTTTGTTTAATTAAGATAATTATAAGAAATCATTTTTCTGGTTTCTTAAAATAAATTAAAATATCTACTTTTTCAATTACATTAAATAAATGCTTTAATTATGTTTATAACAAATTTCAAATGATTCAATTAACTTTTCTTACAATTTATTTTATTTTTAAACAGTGCTGTGGAGTCGAAGTTTCCAGAGTTGGAGTTGTTAAATTCTTTTGACTCCAGTGACTACGACCTCAAAGTTTACTGTGGGTAAAATGAGAAGTAAGAAAAGTACTTTTCAATTCATCAGTATCTAAAGAAATTTCTTAAAAATCAGACACTTCAATAAATTTAGATATCAAAATGATATTAATCCATTAAGGCCATTTCATAGCAAAATGTTATGTGTATCTCATGTGACATGCTCTATACTTTCAGAAAATAGATTTTATTAATTTAAGGCCCACCAGTGGGCAAGTGGATAAAAACCACTGAACACTTGTAGTTAGTCATGGGTTTGCACCTGGAACGTAAGCACTTATGATATGGTTTTGAAGTGCCAAAGTTATCTTATCTTTACCAAAAAAAAGCCCCCAAAAAAATTTTGACTTTAATTTTGGGTGCCATAATTTTTACTTGGTACAATACTTTTTTACATCTCAGATGTTTTTTGTTAGATATCAATTGTTTTTTGACTAATTAGACTAATTAATTTTTTCACTGTTCTTCAATTGGCTTTAAATTAGTAATGACTATTTATTTATTATAGCTTCAATAACATAATTTGATCTTAAAACAGTCAATAGAAAATGATGAAAAAAATATAACTGAGATCAAAATCTAACTTCAACAAACTAAAAGAGGAACAGAAAACTGAAAAATGTAACTAATAGGATTGTTTCAGCTAGTATTATTCACTAATTTAAGTTCTTGGGGCCAATTGCACCCCTCAGTTCAAGATGATTGATTTTTCATATCATTCATCAGATTGTTATTTTTTGCATTTTATTGTATTTAAGTTTATTTTCTTGAAAATAATTAAATTTAAATAAATTTTTCATAATTAACTAATAAAAGTATAATTCATTCAGCTATTAAGATGTAGTGTGTTTCTTTATATACTATAAAGTTTTTCCAAGGTAAATTTGTTATATTCATTTTTTGATTCTCACCATAAGTTTTAGTACAACTTTTTATATAGAAATTTTACATAAAAATAGTTGAATACTCAGTGGTTTCTTCCTTATAAAAGAAATCATAGTATAACATGTTAATAAAGGGTAAGGTCAGAGTTGAAGTCACATGATGCAAATTTGCTGGAGTCAGAGTTGGACTTTTTGCTTACCAACTACACCACATTGTTTTTAAATAAGTCTTAACTGTAGAATAACACAAAGAAACGAATATTCTTAATCAAAGATTATTTGTTTAAAAAATTTATTTTTTAATTTTAAAATATTTAAGCTTATTGTTATCTCAGAAAATAAGTCAACTATTCTGTTAGAGTAGTGTTTTCACAAGAAAGTTTACCTATTTGAGATAATAAAAACCAATGATTTCTCAAATAGATCTCTGTTGAATAGCTTTATCTAGATAACACACAATTCAATCAGTTTAAGGGCTTTCAATCATATCAACAGATATTCAATCCAGCAAAGATGTAAAAAACTTCATTACTGTATCTTTTTTTCTTGGAGCAGATGTGATATGTGTTCTTTTCATGTTTACTATATATTTCCTATTCACATGAAGAATCCCTCAAGTTATAAAATAATTCATAAAATTATTTGTTAATGCATAATTAAAAAATAAGAAATTCATCAGTATCTATACTGATGAATTTCTTAAATGTTAAAAATAAAAAAATATTATATAAATAAGAAAATATAATTTGAATTAACTGAATGGAATGTAATCTTAATTTATATTTTAATTAGAACAATATAAATTACTACCACACATATGCTAGTATGTTTCCATAACAAATACTTTATTTATTTTATTAAAATAAAACTTCTCTCTTATAATCCAAAAATAGAAACTGTGAAATTGTTTGCAGCAAATTAGATGTTCTATTGTATTTAATACATATTAACTAAAAGTGTAATTATTTAAATTTGTAATTTCATTCTATTCGTCTGTAATTGAATGTTAATTCAAATTCTGCATTTCTAATGCCTCTTATAAAATATGCCTGAAGATACCAAAACCAGGATTAAGAGAAAATGTTTAAAGTATAAATCTTAAAAATAAAATTCTTAAGTATAAATTAAAGTTATCTTATTTCATAACACTAATTACTTTTATACTTATTTAAAATACTGACACACTCTAGAGTGCTCAGAAATTTAAATTTTTCAATTACATATCCTTTGTTAAAGAAAATTCTTTTTTTCCATCAGCAAAGAAATTATTTTTAATTATAATAGAAATAATTTATTATGTACAAAAATGAAAGAAATAAGTTAAAAAATAAATTATTAACATGGAAATTTTTCAAATTTTTTTTCACAATTTTTCACGTTTAGTATCTTAAGTAAATAAAATATGAATTACTCAAAAACTAAAAATTAAATGTTTATATAATTTAAAAAGAAAGTTGTAAAACAATATGTGTATATATATTAATAGATAGATTAATTATAAAATGAGTACTGCAATAATGTAAAAGAATTACTTAAATATTGACTTTAACTTTTAAAAGTAATATCATAAAGCTAAAAAATATAATCACATTAATTATTAAACAGCTTTTCTAAAGAATACACAAAACAAACAGAATTAGATAGCAAATAATATTTTCATATTTAAAATTTCACTTCTAAGTAAATTTTGAAAAAAATGTTAACAATACAGTTTTAAATAAAATTTAATACGTAATATAAAACTTAATATAACAGATTTTATTTACATTATTACAAAACAAAGTTTACTTCAAACAAATACTCATATTAATGCATTAAAAGCTTAAATATTTAAAAAATAACCATTTAATAATTACATTTCTCCACATTTAATAATTTATAACATAGGAAAAGATAAAGAAACAACTCAATGAACAATAAACAAATGAAATATCAAAAAATAATAATGCCATTAATATTGAAATCTAATAATATTAAAATTTCATTATTATTAAAATAAAATACAAAAATATGGTCTGAAATTTTTAATCATTTGATGACGAACTTCTCAGGAAAAATGTTAGTATAATTCATATACAGTATTATTAATTAAAATATTTTTCAACTTCAGAAAATGCACCTTTCTTATAGAAGTCTTATAGTTGATTTATTAAATATTTCCAGTCAGAATAATTTTCTCTTCAGAATTTAAAATTACTAATATAAAACTTTTAAAATTAATACTTAATCAAAAAAATATTAAAAATATCAAATTTAATTTAAAAGATGTCTTACACCTAAAAGAAGTTAAGATTTGTGAGGAGAAATCTATTCTCATATTGAAAATATTTATTAATTAATTAATGCATTTTTATTCATTATTTGAATGACTTTTAATATTGTAGTATTGTGACTTTTAATAAATTATGTATGTATGTTTACTAGAAATTTATTTTTCATCCTAAGAAAAACATACTAAAATAGATAATACTATTTACTTTATACACAAATTTATCATATTTACACATCATAATAAAATGTTTTATAAATTTGAAAATTAGTTAGTACATAAAAATTATAAAATTTAGTTTATATAAATTAGTTTTCAAAAGATTGCAAAAAAATGATAAATTATTGTAACTAAAATAAATATAATAAATGTTGAGTTAAATAATATATTTGAAAAATTGAAAATTAATTATTTTCAATTTTTATTTTCAATTTTCAAAACAATCTTTATTTTTAAAAAATAAAAACAATGTAAACTTACATAGAAAATATTGTGTAAAATATCTGAAATTTTCTCATATATTCATTTTTAATGAATAACAATTCATTATATAATTATATAATCAAATAGGATGAAAATTCTGTTTTAATAGAGATTTATAAATATAATGACAAAAATTCTTTTAAAGATAAAAGTCTTAAATACTGAATATATACTCAGCATTTTTATCGTCAATATACTACTTATTTATTTAGATAAATAAACTTTAGTATCTATTAAAACAAAATTTGAAATTTTATAAATTTTGAAGTTTCATTTTATCTATATGATTTAAATTTAGTTAATTTGAATCAATTGAAATATAGCAATTATATACATGCCTATAAATAGTACACAATTCCCAATTTCAAAAAACTATTTTTTTTAATATAACATTTACACAACTTAGTATAACAATTTACCTTTTTCATGAATGATTTTTATCTTTTTTCAAATATTTAATATATTCAAAATGTAAATGTTAAAAAATTCTCATTTTTATTTATTTTCTATTGAAAATTTATATAGGATATTCTTTTCTAAGTAACAATAGACTTTACTATTAAAATAGTTATTAATATTTATTTATTACATTGCACAAAATTGTAAAATTTAAAAAATAAAATAGAATATAAATTTCTGTAAATTAAATAAATAGTAAAGATAATAAAACAAATATTTTCTTATGTGATTTTTAAAATCAAATCATGTTTATCCAGATCCTTCAGTCTAAATTTCCAGATATCTTAATGGGTTTGTATAGTCATTTTTTTAAATTTTACATATTTTGTGAAAAAAATTATTTTTTGAAATGTTTGTGAGATCACTGAAACATTATTTATGACTTTAATATGTATCTATATAAAAATCTCACATTTGCAAGGATAAAAATACCTGCACATACTATTTTTATATACTAAGAAATTATTGTTCTTATTGTTTTGAAGTCAGTAAAGCATGTAAGTTCTTTAAAAAGTATTTTTAGTATGGAATATTTTAGACTTTAATTTCAATACCCCACTAATTTCAATTTATCTGGATTTTTGTTAATCCAGATCAAGTGTGGTCCCATTTGATCTGGATAAATGGGGATTTATTGCAGTAATATAATCATAATATTACCTTATTTGTTCTGATTTCCCCAGTAACTTCATCAATCATGAATTTAGTTCCTTTTTGATTTGGCTGTTGGACAATTGAATACCTAACTTGACCATTATGACCTTTATCTTGATCTGTAGCTTTTACCTAAAAATGAAAGAATATTCCATACTTAATAGGGTAAACAAAAATATTGAAACTAAAAAATCAATAAGAATGTAATAAAAAAAAATTAATACAGTTTTTAAAATGAATTTTTAAAATACAGATAAACAAAAATTGATCTATATGAATTTTATAAGAACTAGATCAATAATTAAATTTTTAAAACATTGATCCTTATAACAAAACAAAAAATTTGATATGTATTGATAAGATTTTATATCAATACAAAATATTACAGATTTTGCTAAGTAAAATAAAACATTTTTAAACTTTTAAAATTAATTAAATATTAAATTATAAATTTATAAATTCTGATTCTGCTCAGCAGAATTTGATTTTTTGAAAATATCTCTTGCCTGTTATACAAATAAAAATCATTATTTATCAGATGAATTCTTTCATATAGATTTTAGAAAGCTTTTCACAAATATTTTAATATAATTTGCCTAATGGAGAATTTATATGTCTGTTTACTCTTAACTAATAAATTGTTAAAATATAGATTGAATGCCATTAACTATTATTTACATCTACTGCAAATTTCATAAATTTTATTAATTATTATAACTTATTATATTTTTCATTAATTATTGCATCATTAAAGAATTTATAAGAAAATATATTAATTCATAAATACAAATTAGAAAGATATTCAATACAATAAAAAATAAATTTGATTTCAATACTACAAATTACTATTATTAAAAACTAAAATATTGAGTACTAAAATGTATAGTTAATGTTTTTCTTTTTAATGATGATTAAATTCATATATGCTTACCAGTAACAAACTATATCTTATTTATTTATTTTATAAATTAAAATTAATAAAAAGCTTAAAATAATTTTTGATTCTAAATAAATTCAATTAAGATATTTATGAAAATGTAATTTCACAGATGAGTGATGGCAGAACTCTACTAGCAATAACAATTAAGTGTGATTGAAATGCAAGCCACATAGCAATTAATCTAATTTAACAACTTCAAGCTCTATGACCAGCTGCAATCATCAACTCTATTATGAAGACTCAATAGAAACAAAAAACTAAGGTTATTAAACTGTTGAAATACTATTAGTTTTCAGTTTTGTATCTGATATTTCACTTATATAAAACTTTAATATTTTGCATATAAAACTGAGAATATATCAATAAACAACTAAGAGTATTTGAGAATCATTTGATTATAATATTTCATTATTATATCAAAATTTTTTCTTTATCATTCTACTAAATAGATAGAATATGTTTTAATAAGAATTCAAAGTACTTCATACCAAAATCAAAAAGCAAAAATAAGGAAAATGCAACTGTCTTTTGGCATTATACAGAGTTAATTGTACAAAATTCACACAAGTAATTTTGACAGTGTATTACTGTTCTCTTCAAGCAAGTAAGTTCTGACATAGAACACAAAAGATTCAAAACTGCTTTGAATCTCTGACAGATGCAATACATGTTATAAATTTGAAAGGATAAAGTATAAACATTTTTTTTAAACATTTAAAACTGAACAAGAATAACATTTTAAATTTTAAATAAATTAAAATAAAGTTTAACTAAATCATGGGTGCTTCTAGGAAGAAGCATGAACCCCCACCAGTAGTCCTCTTCTTGAATTATACATATCTCATGGTTCCAGACTATGCAGAATAAGTTTTATTGCAAGGTCCAAGTATGTACTTAAACTAAAGAATGGGGGTAAAAGATATAATACCTTTGATTATTGCCACTATAAAGGCCATTCCACAAGGAAGTTCAGATCACTCTAGAGGTGGACTGAACTTCCTTGTGGAAATCTACATAGCAGCACATTATTCCATTCCTAAAGCATCTTCTAAAAAGATCCAGATGGTCAAATGATTTTTTCAGTTGTTAGTTGCAGACAAGCATTGGCAATTTGTTATTTGCAAGAACTCAGACTTTCTTACAAGAATAAATCTCTTCCTGGAATAGTTTGGATTGGTTTTGTTAACTAAGGAGCCTTCTTATTTGTTTAAGATGCAAATGGCCTTTAAAAAATAAAAAGGCTCATCAAGCAGCTGTTTAAAAGCTGCGTTACCAGGATCAGCACTACAGTGTACCCAAGACTCTTCTTTCAAGCCAAGATTCATAAGCAAGACTGGTCACTAAGACCATTTGTAAATAAAATGACAAATTCCACTTAGAAAAAGAATCAGCTAAATTATTGTCAACATTGGTCTCTGAGTTTAACTTCTGTTCACACATACAAAAGGAAATTGGACATTTACCACCTTTTTCATACTGCTTCTACATAATCAATATGATCACTTTATATCTTTCTGTTCTCACATTCAAGGAAATCAAGATACCCTACTCCTCAGGAACAACTCTGTACTGTATATCAAGTCTAGCGATTCAGGAAACACTCCACCTAGTAACCCAACATAATTACTTTCAGTTTAATACATTGCTATCTGAAAAAACAAGGCATACCCATAGGATCTGTTTTATTAGCCATCTTAGTAAAGCTTAATATGAGATATAGATGTTTACCACACCCCTTACAACTTGTTATCCTGTTTTCTACATACAGTATGTAGAGAATGCCCTATTAGTCTGGAAGAGTTATAATCCTTTGTACATCATTTATCATGTTGCTATCCCTCAATAGCCATCAAAGAAGAATGTAACAATAACTCTATCCCCTTTTTAGATTGCTCAAACATAGGACCCTCATGGGCCTCAGTTTTGGAGTGTATCATAAATTCAACTTGCTTCCCATGATCATCCCCACCAATTCCTTTCAACCTCCACAATATGAAAACATTCCCATCATCACTGTAATATGTAGGCCCAGAGCCTACATATTACAGTGCGATCAGAGCAGCCGCTCCAGGCGCTAAGTCCTAGGGGGCACCTCAGTGGTAAAGAAAATTAAAGGGTATAAATTAGGGGCAACCAAGGGGGCAACATAATAGGATCTCGCTCCATCCTAAAACTTGCCTCGGGCCGGCACTGTGTAGGCCCTTCTGTACCCCTCCACACAACATCTAGTCAACAAAGAATTAGAGATAGTTAGCATTGTGCTTAGGAATGCAGGTTATACATCAGGAAAATTTGACCACATTAAAGCAAGAGTTACAAAAGCATTATTCCCAATCTCTACCATAGCAGTTAAGTCTGATAGCATATGCACATGGATATCCATCCAAAGTTTTCCTTGGGCATGTAATCTTACACCTCACCCATATCTTTACAAAGCATGGCTTCTTCCTTACCATCAAACCCCAACCTGCATTATGGAAGTTGTTATAAAATGACAAGAACTGCAATTCCATGCTTGAGATGTCAAGAGTCTATAAAATTCCCTTAAAACAAGTTGTCTCTAGTTTTCATATGTAGGGGCAACCTCCAGAATGATTGGAAATAGAATAGCTGAATACCAAGACAATATCCAATATGATAAACATTCTACAGAGTTAGCTAAGACAGTACTAGAACATAATTGCAATCCCCTGTGGGCATAAACTGTGCTATTCCAGCCGTGTAGATCAAAACACTATTTATTTGGGAAACTTTGTATATGCTAACAATATGTGTAACATTCCATTCTTGAACTTTCAGACATGGATTTCATTTTTCAGGGCTGTTAAAAACAATAATAATAGTTAAGTGTTTCCTTTGAGTACTTCTATACCCACAATTGTTGTGGCTAGTAATTAGTTTATAAATAGTGTAACTTATCTTCTTGTACTCCCTAGAATTATTGTTAAAAGTCTTTAAGAATAGTAATAATTTATAAGATTGTAAGATTTATTTAAATTTTTCTTAATGCTGTATATTTAAAATTTTAAAAGTTGCCCTGCCTTTTAAATGTTTAGAACAGAACAAGTTTATATGTTATCCTTTCAAACTTGTAGTATATATCTCTCAGAGATTTAAAGTGGTTTTGAATCTTTTGTTCTATGTCAGAACTTTCTTGCCTGAGGATGACATTAATACACTGTTGAAAGTATGAACGTTTGTTCAATTAAACTCTGTATAATGCCAAAAGACAGTTGCTTGTTCTTTATTTTTCTAATTTTAATAGATATTAAACTAAGTTGTATATAAACATATTTAGAAAGAGAAGTCATTTGATGAAACAGTATGAGCAAAAATAAAAATCACCATTAATAGTATGTAGACATTTTAACTAACAGCCCTCGTGAGAATATAAATTGCTTTGAAATCTGTCGCTAAATTTTACTAGCAATTTAAAAACAATAAAAGATCTGCAAAGCCTATTTCACTAATCCTTATGTTTCCAGAGCTTGATTGATACACGCAAAATGAGTTAAATCTCTGCCTGTAAAACAAAATCGTTTTTTTCTACAAATATTATAAATTATTTTATTTAATTTTAAATNTCACTGGGTATCAGCTTTTGCACTTTGCATCATAATGTTAGTTCAATTGTAGTTTGATCTATTACATCTAGGTAACCTAGAAGTAATAGAAAAAAGACACCATAGTGGGCCATATTAGCTGCATTTACTCTATATTCAAACAGAAAAAGTATAATTAATAAATTTTTTTGTTTTATATGCATGATGTCTTCCAATTAAATTTCAGATATTAAAAAAATAAAATGAAAATATATAAATTAGCATAATTAATGATGCATCTATAAATTCTCATTAATTTTATATATCAGCACAGACAATCACAGAGGATGTTGACTCAAATAAATTCACAATTAAAATAACAATTTACTAGAAATAAAAATACAAGGAACTCTTGTACTATAATGAAATCATTTATACTAAGCAAATCATTTATGCCTTTATACATACTTTATATATTTTGCACAGTTATACAGTATTTAGAATAAAATTTTAAAACTAGTTACTTCCTTTTAAATTAACCCATGGTATGATTCATTGAAATATATTTGAGAAAAGTATAAAAGATTTTCAAGATACATTACTCATAACAATAAGAAAAAGAAAAATTAAGTATGAAGCCAATGTATGTA